AGCATATACACTTTATGCATATATTTTAATGTTTTGTTCTATGTTTTTGTAAACCCCTTAGAGGTATTCTTCCAATCAAGTGGTGTGTGTCTTTCTCTCTCAGATTCCTTCCTTGCATAAAAATAGCTTTTAGGTCCTTAGGTTTTGTATATGAGAAAGTTTGAGATGTTCTTCCATGGCAAGAGGCTTTCAAATATTGTAAGTGCTTCTAAGCGAGTAATGCTCAATGGCCTTCATGCGGGTTTTAATGTGGTTCTTAAATCTGACTTTGCAGAGGGACTTTGTTTTTCAGATTTATGTTGGGCAGTACACTTATTCACGTACAAGAACTTCTGCAGAAGCTTTTGTCTCAGCGTGGGAAGGGTTGGGTGGGCAGCTGGGTGAGAAGGGGAATTGCTCAAAATCATGAGGAGGTATTTTGTACACTTCCAGTTGAGAGCAATTTCCCTCTCCCACAACAGCCCCTGTGCCTCACCCCTTACTGCTCTTTGGGGTGATAAGGAAGGTGACTCCGCCGATATCTACTTTTACTAAATCAGATTTTCAGCAACAGTTTATTTGACATGAAAGGTAAGTCATCTTTAGATTTTCATCAATTTGTAACTGTAGCAAAGGGCACCTTGAAACTACTTCCTTTAGGGAGTTCTCCTGCCATGTCTCATCAGTAGAGAAATGAAGATTCAGTGCCTACTTTCTCTCTTCAGTGCTGAATTACAGATGAACAAGGATTTACCAAAGTTACAAAGTCAAGCAAAAGAAGAGGGGGCGATGTTCTCCCCTTTGCATTTACTATAGGGGGGACATACAGTTCTTTATTAAAATTCATTTCCAAGCTTTGCAGTTGCAATATATTCTTCAGGAGCAATGTTTTTTCAGTGTCAAATTCCTATGTAGTTTGATCCACATAGGCTAAATAAATTCAATAAGAATTCAGGACTTTTTGCAATGTATGGACATACACTCTTAAATTCAAAGAATACAGGACACAGATCTCAGGACGTTCATTGGGCCTCAGATTGCAATTTTGATGTGCAACATATCTCTGGATCTGTGTATTTATCACACATGCACCCCATACTTCCACCAAGGAGTGAAAGACAGCATACATGGGTTCCATTTTATGACACAACAACTTCATATGGGAGGGTTAAGATGAGATATAGTGATGCCCCCCAGGTCATCTTGTTTCCCTGTATCCTAACTCACAATTTTCGCCTCTGCCTCACGCTATAAATGTAGACAGATTGTCATAGTTTTAATATATGGTCACTTGAGTACATAATTTCTTAGCTCGTAAGAAAGACACCTGCATTTTTACTACCGAACATTTTGCCAGCATAATGCATCTAGGCAAAAATCTTATTGCATGCTGTTACTTAATGTGATATTTTCCCCCTCTACCTCAATATAATTTTTAGTTTCTGAAGTCAAGCAGCTGTAAACAGATGAAAAGTCAAAACGATGAAACTTCTAGGCAAGAAAATAAGATTAGACAATGTTGCATTTTTAAAGAAGGTACATGGTTTTAAGTACACATATATTTGTACTTGTGGTACAAATTGTTATTATATTATAATAATCATAAATATTATGCGTACTGTGCAAAGTATTGTACTTAGATTCAGAAAACCTGTTTCAAATTCTTGCTCAGGCAAGAGGTTTACTGGGTGACCCTGGGTGAGTCTCTTAGCCTACCTCACAGCGTGGTTGTGAGGATAAAACAAGGGAAGGTACACCATGTTTGCCTCCCTGAGCTCCTTAGAACAAAGGGCAAGAGAAAAATGCAACAAATGATTATAAAAACTGTGATTTGTTAAGGTACCTCCATTATCTGAGCGAAGGGAAAGCTCAACAAACATAGTGATCTAGCCAACTCTTTCTTGACTACTGTGGTCAGCAACATCCTGCAGCTGAACATACATAAGATGTAATTATGCTCATCATCCTATGTTCACTCAGGACTGAGTAATATGTTACTACTAGTACTATTGAGAGTGAATCCCACCCAGATCCTAGTCACTCATGGAATGATTCCCTAGCAACTAAGTGGAGTTAAGGGTCCTGTGAGGAAGTTAATTGCCTGCCACTAGAAGCTCAATATCAGGAGTGTCTGACAGGCTCTGAGGGAGACTGCCAGCAGTACTCTGATTCACAGCTTGGTTTTTTGTTTGTTTTCCAAAAGCTTTAATGCATGGATTGCTATGGTATATCCGTCACGTTACAAGGTGCATAGGTCAACAGGTGCATGGATAAGCAGAACCTAAGATGTTGTTCTGACACTTTACATGCCCCCCAAAGCCCTCCTTTTGTGCGGTTGGTGTCCTGAGCCACGGGACTGAGCAAGCAAGCAAGCCCTCCTTCGGAGATGCTTGGTTTGCTGAGTTTGTTCTCACCGGTACATCCATTGTGACAGAGGCAGAGTTAATGGGCCAGCTTGTTATCTGATCTATCTGCAAGCATCCCCTGAACCAGAGGAGGCTTTCAGGGAGGACAGTCCTGGTGCAGTGTCAGGTTCCTGTGATGTACAAGGTCTCCTATGGCACAGAGGTGGACTTCTGCCCTGACAGTCCCCTTGCCCCATCTCTAGGGTCTAAGTCAATATTCGCAATGGTCCCTCCTCATGGTCCAATTTCTCCAGTTCTCTGTTCTTCCCTTCCTCACCTTCCTCTGCCCAGTCTTGACATCTCCACAAGGCTCATGCTAGCCAAAAGTGTCTGGGAAGGCACTGCAGACTTCAAAGAAGCATTAGTCCTGGGGCGCACTGTGGGGCCTCTAGAGTCTGCCTGCCTCCTCCCTCTCAGCTGCCCTATGGCTGGCGGGGGGGGGGGGAGGCAGCAGGTGAACTGTTTGGGCAGCACGGAGCCTGAGTGCGCCCAAGCCACCGCGTCTCTCCCAGGAGAGACAGTGGCTCGGGCTCGCTGCAGACACCACGGTGAGAGCCGCCTGGCATTTTGTCACCCCCCTCAGTGGTGACACCTGGGGCGGTCTGCACCCACCACACTCCCTTCCTCTGCCCCTGCCTGTACTCCCACCATTTATTTGCTATGACATTGGCTAGAGTGCTTAAGCCAAGTTCTCCGAGCTACAAGAGGCAGTCCCTTCCACAGAATTGCTCTGCCTTTTGTCTGAGAAAGACAACTTCCCAGTTGATTAATGATGTCCTAATCCTGACTGAGAGCCACCTGTCGAATAACGGTGAAGATGGAACATAGCAATAATGTACAAATTAAAGTATGTTGTGAAGGTGCAGCTGGCAATAATAGAGCTGTGCTCAAGTTTGTGGATAAGTGGGGGGGGAAATCATGTTATTCTGGAAAAGAAATAGCACATGCAAAATTATGCTTACAAAGCTGTAAAGCAAAAAGAAAAAGGATTTATATTACAAGTTACAAGAATAAGTATAGAGATTAAATTATTGCATATGCATATATATATATAACAAGACAAAGTATAATCTAAACTAATCTGTAATTGCTCAAGCATGACCATATTCATCCTTTTAAAGATCAAGCTTTTAAATGTTAAGCTTTACAGAGAAAGAAAAGTTCAGTAGGCAAGCATTTTCACTATTGGCTCTATCACTTTGGATTATGTTTGCTATCTTTTTCTTTTATTTGAAAGCAGGGTTCCCAGAAGTAAAGGGATTTGGGGAGCTTACAATGAAAAATGTCACCGGGGGGTAGCTGCCCTGCTTCCTGTGGTAAAGCAGAAGAATGCTTTCAGATTTTACGGTGAGAAAAATGAAAGAATGAATCCCTTAGGACTCCACCCTATACACCCCGCACACACTTTTTGCTGAGCTGTTAAGAAAAGGAAGCCACTTATCTAGCAAAAAGTTTTTGCATTGCTGTTAGATCTTCTACCTCCGAAAAATGAATTACAGAATAGACATGGCATGCTACTTTATCTCTGAAATAGAACAATTCCATCTGACGCTTTCTTGAGTTTATACACTGCAAAACATCAATGACGACTACTGGTCATTAGAAGTTGCACATCAGACTGGATGTTTCCTGAATATGTAACAGACAGCTGCAATCTTGATTTTCCTAAATAACTACAGGCAGATATGATTCTTGTTAAGAAGGCACCATGTGAGGATGTGAGGCTTATCTCATCTGCCCACCCTGATCAGAATGGATACTGCGCACGCACACACACACGGGCACAGGATTCTTAAAAACAAAGTCCCGCTGACCCTCTTTTTCTCAGTAGAAATGAGCTACCCTAGGCCTATAATTATTTAGGGCAAGAATAGGGAACTGATGGCCCTCCACGGACTACAAAAACCATCATGCCTGGCTGGGGCTAATGGGGGTTGGAGCCCAACATCTGGAGAACAACAGGTTCCTCATCCCTAATTTAAGGAAAAAGTAGCAACACAACTGTCATACTATGTTAGAATTTGTCCCTAAGATAGAGAAAATATTTCCATGAGATCTATGTAGCAAAGGCATTGTGGTACAGTTTGCAGAAATAAAGCTTACTTCTCCTTAAAGATATCCTGTGTGGTGCAATGATTTGCCCCTTTTGGATTTGATATCCCGCCTTTCACTCCCTTTAAGGAGTCTCAAAGCGGCTAACATTCTCCTTTCCCTTCCTCCCCCACAACAAACACTCTGTGAGTTGAGTGGGGCTGAGAGACTTCAAAGAAGTGTGACTGGCCCAAGGTCACCCAGCAGCTGCATGTGGAGGAGCGGAGACGCGAACCCGGTTCCCCAGATAACGAGACTACCGCTCTTAACCACTACACCACGCTGGCTCTCGTGTAGTATGACTGGGGAGATTGGAGTGAATTGAACTGATACAATGGCAAAAGCTTTTGGAGAATTATATATTGATACATGAGCATGGCATTTAGCTTCACCACAAATTACATCCACGCAGGAATCAGTATGAAAGACTATCTCCGGGCTGGAGCACCAAACATTAACAAAGGAAGACTGCATATTCTAGCAGAAACTGTGATAATTTGGTTAAAGTGCCACAGGTGAACTTACCACTGAGAGGATGAGGAATTGTATACTGTTTCTTCTTACTCGTAATGGAAGATGTGGAAAGTTTGCGAGAAAGAGCAGCCCCTTGTTTCTTTCTTGAAGCATCACCCTGCTGGGTTTTCCTCAGCTGTACCATGTGTTTGAGTTTATTTAGGCGTTCTTGTGAGCGGGAAATAAAGTGAGGCTTGTGAACTTCTAGCGCCTCCTAAAAGAAAGAAATACATTTCATTTGGAGTGAGAAACAGAGAGGGCATTATCAATTAGTTCCTCTGAACCAACGTAATGAAAGTCCTGCTTCTCAAGTGTTTAGGTTTGCATCCAAAAATTATCACATAATATGGACATGATAAGATGTCTCTCAACAGTGTGGGACCTCATGCCTCAACAGAGGAACTGGCAGTCATGTGCCCTTTTGTTTACAAGCTCACCTTTCTGCAGCACAGGAAAATCCCAGCTATCCACAAATGGATCAAGGATTTGTCTTCAGGTGGCTTCATGAGTTGACAATATACCATCAAGTTTAGAACAGGAATGGGGAACCTGCAGCTCTCTAGATGTTGATCAACTCATTCCAAACCCCATCAACCCCAGCCAGCTTAGCTCAGGGATGATATGAGTTGGAGACAGGGTAGGATAGGACTTGCGAGCCCACCAACAGCTAAAGGGCCAAAGGTTCCCTGCCTCTGCTTTAGTAGATGGACAACTACCATGCTATATGGAAAGTATATACTGTTTTTTATGCCTAATCAAGAAAAGCCAACTTGCCCTATCCTACGTAGCTTAGACAGTATAATTGGCCTTGAAACTGATTGCCTGCAGCCTTTGCCCTCTTCATTCCTTTCCTGCACTCTTTCTAGCATACTTATTGTGCTGGTATGAGTGTTGTGTGGTTCTATGTCATATCAGCATTAACAGCATTAACACAACTTGGGACATGGTTGAAAAACTGCTACATTAAGCAGGAGTGGCTACTCTTGCAAACACACGTCTCATTTTTGCAGTTACCAGTGCCTGTGTACTTTAGAATTCCTTTTTGTCCTAAGTGTCTAAATAGGAAAACCAAAGGACACAATTAATGGCTTCCTTGGACATCCAAGATATATGGATTCAGGATAAATGCATCTGCTGTGCCTCAATGGGTAAAAAAGCAGCAGAATCCATTTATCACTATGCGCTTGGAAAGAAAGAAAGAATAAAAAAGTGCAGTATACTCTTGGCCACTTCATTTAATTGTTTATTAAATATTTTCCTGCTGCCTAGGCTGTTTACTCCTAACCATTAACACACTTCTGTAGTTGTTTAATGTGCTGTCCTTGTTTGCATCAGACTCAGACCCGGGTAAGAGAAAAGTCCCTTTCATGGTGGGTCATGCATAGCTTTTTAACATGCTCAGTGTTTAAAAGGAGGACCAGAATGCTGTTATCAGTAGGAGATTTGAGTTGCCTGAAACCAACATTTAACCCTTGCTGTTCAGATTTAGGTTCATAACATTCTGCCAGTCTAGCTCTTAAAAACATAGTATCCCTTTTTTAAGGTTACTGTCCTGGCTCCCAGTTGCTGAAGAACGAGAACTCGAAGAAGGATTCTTTCCAAAGGCTTTACTGTTTAGATTGGTGCAATACATATGCACATCACGGGTCTAAGGGAGAGCAGGGCACATAGCTGATCCAACGCTTGGGTACATAATGGCAGGTGATCTAGCACACCCCTTGCTTTCCTATATAAAGGAATGTGGCAGGCTCAACGTAGGGCAGCAAATGGTTCTGCTCCTTAGCAAGCAACCTAGCACTCTGCCTTGAAGGTGGGTTCTGCTCCCATCTGTTCAGATCTCCCTTGGTGCCTTCAGGACTTAGGTTTGATGGCTCTGGGGTAAGCTGTGAGAGAGGTATTGTGGAGGTGCTCAGACAGCTGTGGAGAGGAAATCAGGGTTGAAGAGGAAGGCAGGGTGCACTGACCTCACCCTGGGGGACCCATAGTCTTTTAGGGCACAAGAATCTTCATTTTGCTGCAGCAGACTAATACAGCTACACCTCTGGCCATTGGATCAGTAAATGTGAGGGGAAGGAATTGATGGAAAGGTGAGCAAAAATGTTTGTGTATAGCAGGGGCTTCTAGACAGAGGGGAATTTCTGAAGTTGCTCATTTTCAACAGATCAGGCAATCGAAATCATTATTCAACAATGAACAGCAGCTTCAAGTGACCTCATTGTTCCATTGATCAAGTAAGAAAAAGAAAAAAGAAAATGTGACTTTCTGCCTCCATTGAGTTCCCAGGAAAATAACCATCACAGGACTGAGAGTTAACAGAGAAAACATTCTGATATTTTACCCTGAGAGTCAGTGGGTTTTCAGGAATGTTCTCAGGCTCAGAGCAGACCTCTGGCTGCTGGAAGGCTTCATGTTTCTCATGAGTAACATCTGGCTCATGAGCTGTGGAGGTTGTTACCCTGTCGATTGTCTTGTTCATCTCACTTTTCTGATGCTCCTTCAGCTTGATAGCCAAACCACAGAATTTGTAATCACCTTAAAAAAAGAGATAGATGTTTATTAAGGGGGAGCAGTTAATTTGAATTTGGGTCTTTCTTTGCTTCTGGAATGTGGTTTCTGAAACAAAACCGTCAAGTTATATATTCTTCAGCATTTTAGTGAGAATTTATCCTGATAAACACATTTTTGTATGCAGTTTTGGATAATGTACATGTTTTTGCAAACAATTTCCCCTAACATAGTGAATTTTTGTAAACAATGGTTGGAGAATAGCATTGCAAAATTTGGATAAATGTGAATTTTGAAAGAAAGCTGTGTTTTGGTTCACCTATTGGTCTGGAAAATGTTGTTTTGATAGATCTGGAGTTAAATGCATACTGAATCAAATTTCTCCTTTCCTAATGGTGGCCACTGTGGGAAGCGGGTGGCGCTGTGGGTAAAAGCCTCAGCGCCTAGGGCTTGCCGATCGAAAGGTCGGCGGTTCAAATCCCTGTGGCAGGGTGCGCTCCCGTCGTTCGGTCCCAGCGCCTGCCAACCTAGCAGTTCGAAAGCACCCCTGGGTGCAAGTAGATAAATAGGGACCGCTTACTAGCGGAAAGGTAAACGGCGTTCCGTGTGCGGCTCTGGCTCGCCAGAGCAGCGATGTCACGCTGGCCACGTGACCCGGAAGTGTCTCCAGACAGCGCTGGCCCCCGGCCTCTTGAGTGAGATGGGCGCACAACCCTAGAGTCTGTCAAGACTGGCCCGTACGGGCAGGGGTACCTTTACCTTTAATGGTGGCCACTAACACATTGCCAAAAAGAAGAAGATACATCACAGATAAAGAAAGAAAGAATATAAAAAAGAGGACATAGATTTGTTTTTAAAAATGCATTTGCAATTACATATGCAAATTTGGAAATAATTACTAACTTTATGGTTCGGTGTAATGATGATGATAACTCTTATTATTTATACTCCATATATCTTACTGGGCTGCCCCAGCCACTCTGGGTGTCTTGCAACATAATAAAAACACTTCATAACTTCAAACATTAAAAGCTGCATGTAGACATGCAGCAAAATGAGGTGCCAGAATCCTGAGAAGCAGCAATACTAGAATTGTGTCTTCGCACTGAAGGTGGTTGATGCTATGTTTTGCTGCTCACCAATATTTAAAGCAAAACCCCTGCAAGCTGAAAAACCAACCAACCTTGGCGCATTGAGCAAAAAAGCTTTTGTTCTAACGCACTTCTTGCTATGTAACTTTTCTACTTGCAAGGAAAAGCTTTCTCGCCACCTCAGCCATCTGAATGCAAACTGCTTTCCATTTACAACCTTGGTCCCACCTCACTCCACTGCATGATCGTGAGAGCCTGAGACTGCTGCCTAATATATTGCTTTACAGAGCAGGCGGAGGGAAATATATGTTGCTCTAATTGATAATTATAATTTCTATAATTTACAGTATATGATGTTCCTGGAGTATTCAAAGCACTTCACACAGATTATCCCAGAAATCTTTACAACCATTCTGTAAAGTACAATAGCATCATACCAGAATTATTATTTTTAGTACCACCATACTGCAGATGGTGCAGGGAGAGGGGCAGAGGGGAACAACTGGAGAACAGTGGCTAGCCTAAGGCTACTTAGTGAGTTCATGGATGGGGGAGAACTAAAGTCAGAAAGCTTAGCTCACAGGTCACAGCCTTCGCTACATGACTCTCAATAGCTCATACACTTTGAACCAACTAAGATTTACTGCACTGATGATGGACTACAACAAAATATGTATATTGTATTCTTCCTCAAGTTCTTTTCCCTTTGGTCTTGCAGCTGTTGGTTTTTTTTTTCATTGTTCCTGTATTGATCGGCATATTCAAGTCCTTATTTTACTGCAATTACTTTAAGATGAGAAACTAATAAACAAAATGCTAAAATATGATTTCGGTTCATTAAAAATGTAATCAATATAGAAGGTTATTAAAAAATGTTTTCCTCCTTTATAATCAAGCTTGATTGATTGCTCTTCGACAATCAACATTTCTTGCATAGTTTATAATCCCAAAAAGGAGTTTATGCCCAAAATGCGAATAGATGTTTTCAGCATTTTACAAGCTAAAAATACAGAATTAATCCAAAATGGCAAATTATCCTTCTGAAGAACACTGAGACATGCCCCTCTTACAAGAGTGACAATAAGCTTGTGTTTCCTGCCAAATGGTATGATTCGAGATATTAAATATCTGGGAAGAAAGCCTATTTCAGATTGTTTCAAATGATCAATTGCAGTAAAGAGAAAATACCTTTTCCTTGTCTCATGGCAGAAGCTTGATACTCTTTTTTTCCAAACAAACAAATCAAAATATAAAGTTGTTTTCTGCACCTGTTTTACCAAGTTGCAAATCCTCTCCCATATTGATTGTTTGCCTTACTTGCACATACTTTTGCTGAGCCAAGATTCTGAAAATATTTTTCCCTGAAGAGGGGTTTGCAAGGTAAATTGAAAAACTGAACATTAGTTTCAGATATTTTTCCAGACCAAAAGCTCCATGGAGGCTGTAGTTGCAGTTGGTGAGCACAGTGCCCATGTACCAATTATCGTGCATATATTTCCATTGTACACAAAGATCTGTTCCTAATGCTGCAACGGAAGGGAAATACCTAATGTGACCTGGAGCTGCTGGGCAGCAAGGTTCTCTTGATTCAGGAATCCTAGGATGTCAGAGAGGTGAGATGGGCATATTTTATATATATATATGGATGAGAAGAGAAAAATACATGAAGTTGGTGTTATCAAGATAATGGAATTAGAATAATCCCTAATTTATCTTTCTCAACTGTCTACAATAAAATAGTTTGTCCACTGGGCAATTTTTCATTGGATACAAAAGGAGGGTAAAATATATGGATAAAGCAGAAGGGAGTGGGAAATGAGGTCAGGAACCCTGAGAGTATCCCTCTATCAGCCTATAGTACAAGCTGAGTTGTATCTCAACACTTCCAACAACAAGCATTTACAGGGATGGGGAACCTGTAGTCCTCCAGATGTTATTGGACTGCGGCTTTCATCATCCCTGAATAATGGCCACACTGGTTGTGCTAAAGTATGCATGTTTGGGGATTCAATACAGAAACATGGGACATCAAAATGCATTATGTGTGTTCTAACTATGTTGTCTTATTTCTTCTTATTTGGTCTCAATAGGCCATGGCCAATATTGAGAATTTATACAAATGCATTAAGTGAAGCCTGTTGCTCTCCAAACTACAGTGGTACCTCAGGTTACATACGCTTCAGGTTACATACGCTTCAGGTTACAGATTCCGCTAACCCAGAAATATTACCCCTGGTTAAGTACTTTGCTTCAGGATGAGAACAGAAATTGTGCTCCGGCAGTGTGGCAGCAAGAGGCCCCTTAGCTAAAGTGGTGCTTCAGGTTAAGAACAGTTTCAGGTTAAGTACGGACCTCCAGAATGAATTAAGTACTTAACCTGAGGTACCACTGTATTTTCCTACCTTCAAAACAAAAACAAAAAACCAACAACAGACAAATGCAAACAAGCTGCCCATTAACAGCTCTGCACCTTTTACTCTGATCATATTTTAACACGCCACAAAAGCTAGATTCCTAATACCCAATGAAAGATTTGCAGCTTACCTTTTGGGAACGGATCTTTTCTGTAGATATCATTTTCGCCCAGTGCCCTTTTTGATAAAGCCTTTATATGATACCCGTGATCAGAAAAAGATGTTTTTGGTTTCAGAAAGCTTTGGGTCTGACTCTCTTTGGACTCTGAAGTGCCTTTGGGTTGATGTTTATCTTTCAAAGAAATGCCACCTTCCACCATGAGTTCTTTCTTGGACGATTGCTCCAGAAAGGAAGCAAGTGCTGTTTCATAGTGTCTGTCTCTTATGCACTGTTTTCTGTTGCTTCCTGAGGATGCTTGTGTGCCTATTAAAAAGTAAGAGAGGGAGAGGAGAAATAAAAGTAAAGCAATGCCTGAAACATAACTTCACTGTCATGGTTCCTTCTGCAAAGGTCCTTCCAACATTGTTTGCAGCACTGCATGAATTATTATTATTATTATTATTATTATTATTATTATTATTTCATAAATGTATCCCCACACCCTTGAAGCAGTGATGCTGTGCCACTGCCACCAGAAAACAGTGTGATATCATTAGCCTCTTCACTTCCTTGTTCTCTAAACTGCTTTTAATCATGTTATCCTCTTTCCTAATAAGACTACCTGTGATTACAAATTAATAGCTTCCTAACCAGCCCATATACCAACATTTCATTTCCACAGCACAAGATTGTATACTATGCAACTCTAAGAAACCCACTGGGGAAAATAATTGCCAAGAACATAGAGCACGCTTCATAAAAGACGCACTGTTGGTATAAAGCCAAACTGATTCCGCAAACATATTTCAGTAGTCCATTGAAGGCTTGATCCAGGTATTCCATTGCAGTGTGGTTACACTGGCATCTTCCAGACATACATTTAACATAGAGAAAACATGATCTGCAAAGTTGCCCTATAGGGCTTCTTGGCAAGGGAAGAAAGGAAGGTTAGGTGAACAAATATCATGCCAATGAATGAATGGTGATCCACCAAGACTGTTAAGCACTATTGGGGCTACTGTGAAAGAAAGACTGCAAGACCCCAGACTCACCCAAAGTCCTCCACCCCCACAGTCCACACAGGATCATTCAGTTGAGAGCGATTTTGAGTCCAAGACAAGACAAAGTATTGTGTACTTGCCACATCCATCTCCTCCAGAAGATTTTCCATGCTGACCGGGAGCACAAACCACAGACCATGGCATCAGTGCCAATCCTAGTTGCCCCTCTCTGTGGGGCTTTTTTAGTGTGCAGCTCATGCAACACTAGCAACAGGCTTATAGGTAAGTTTAGAGATGCTTCGAAAATTAACTGTTCAAATGCCATCATTGTTCATGAATTACCACGCAAAATTCTATGGCTTATGTTTCCCACTTTCTGTAACCAACTGCAAGGTTCCTAGGTATTTCTATTCTAGGCTACTACAAATATACAGCCCCCCCTCTCCCAAACCTGTCTTGCTAGTTTGTGCACACATGATTATTTGTGTGTGAGAGTGCACACATGCACACACAAAAGTGGTTGACTCCCTATATCCTTTTCCTAAGCTCAGCTTGTCAATGTGTATCCGTGTGGAGGGAATGACCATACTATTTGAGATGAGCTGCATTGTTGGGCTAATAAACACGACAGCCTCTCAACAAGGCATCTGCCTTACAACAAAAGCAGCAAGAAAGGGGAAGTTTGCAAGGTTCATTTATGGAATTAGATAGGATCTGGCCTGAGATGGGCATGGGCATGCATATTTTCAAGATTCACAAACTACCAGTGAAAACTTGATGGGGAATTGAAAATGACATTCAATTCGTATGATACCTGTTCGAATCTATTTTCTTGAAGTTGGCTGAAATGAACTACATGGATAAGACTGCAGTCACCCTTATATGTGGCACCTGATGGTGTTGCTGTCTAATAACAGGGAGCATTCCTCAACACCAGGCAAACTTTACAAGGTGGCCACACCACACTCTCAATTCACAGAAGAAGATAGCTGCACATTTTGTCCCATAACTAACTTTCTAGGAGGGCTAATGAGCTTTAAAATGAAAGCTCAGGGTCTTGAGAACCTGACAAGGGTTACCAATGAAAGCATTCATGGGCATCATGGCACCCATCGGTGCCAGGATGGTGACCTCTGTTGTATGATAATTTGCTGAGGATCCAACATGTTAGTTTATACATTTCTGTGTTGTTATCTCTGTAACAGAGATCTCAAAGTTTCCCTGTAACATACATTGTTATCTCTTGATAACTGAAAACTACATTAGCTTTCCTATTTCTTTCCTTCTCCCCCACTCCCGTTTCTGAAACATATCTAATTTATTATCTCTTTCATTAGAATTATCCCAGTGGGAGCCACAAGGAGTCACTTACTGGTTCAATGAACGTCCTGGTAATGGAATTAGAACGTTGCCCCTTAATTACAGCAGCTAAGCTAAAATAAAACTTTTAAAAAACCTCTCTATGTTGAAGCTCATTCTGCTTGGCAATAGGAGTCCTCTCCAGCTGTGATTTCTATTAAATTCTGGTGGTTTCGCTGCAAACTCTTTTCTGCAATCAGGACTGGTTCAAGTTATCTGGAGCCACTCAGCTGGAGCCCAGATTCCATGCAATCGTTCACTTTCCTGTCTCCTATGTAAGTTCTAATATTAAGATTGCACAATCCACGTCTTATTCACAGATCAGTAAAAGGTAACGGGGCTTGGGCACAGAAGCATAGAGAAAGGAGTTTCACTGGGAAAAGACAGGCAGAAGAATACATGTGCAAGCTAGAAAATAGGGACCAAATACAAAACCACAGGGACAGTGTTGTAACTTAGTCAGCAAAACAGTGCTAAATGGCAAGGTACACACACACACCCCGCAAATGAAAATGGGGGAGGGGATCTTCGAAAGTTGGAACTGTGGGATAATGACAGTCTGACATCCCTGAACTTGTCAATTAACCAATTACACACTGCATCCCTAATATGCGACACTTCCAAAATATCACCCACTAGTTATAAACACAATAGCAAGATTGCATTGCAGCACATGTATAGGTTGGAGCTCCTACTTTAGTGAAGAAATATCTACATTTGAGTTGTTAGCCAGAGAATCTTGTATTTGTATCTCACCCAGTCTGGCAAGTTGTTGAAACTGTTCCCCAAGGAATAGATCTCACAAGGGGAGAGAGTAAGGAACATGTGTATTCACTGAGTTATAAAGCAATGTCAGTTCCCTATCCAGGGGTTGATTACGCAGAGACAGACTGTGCTGTAGTTACTAGCTATAGCAATTTAAAGTGTTAGTTACAAACACAAGCGAAAATCAAACCCCACAGTCTGTGCCATTTATCTGGCAAAGATGTGAAAACATTGAGTAATTTTTGGAGCTACATTTGATAAATATTTTCTTTTACCAATTAAATCTTTCAAAAATGGACCCAAATCTGGCTCTTCCTTTCATATAAAGAGCCAAAATAAAACACAAACAGCTGTCAATTATTTGCTGTCAAGTATGTTGCAAATAATTTACAGGAAACTCACAGCCACACACAAAACAGAGAAAGGGGTGCTTAAAAAGCTGAGATCACACTGCTCACTTTTCATATTCTGGGAACATTTTCATTGTATTGTTTAGGGAATAAGGCATGAATCTCTCATTAAGAATATCTAGAGTGGTATTTCTAGCTCTCCAAGCAACAAACTGGAAATATATGCAACCCACAGAGAACAGCTCAAATTGCAATTGGATGGAGATAGGGTTTTGCTGTTATCCCAGTTGAAGGAATACTTTAAAGCTAATGAAAAAAGACATGAAAGTCTAATGCAGAGGGAAACCTGTGAGAACAAAATAGCGGAGACAAAAAGAAACGCTTCCATTAGCAAAATGTGTGTCTGTATGTGTATATATTAACAACTGCACAATTTACACAATTTGTTGATGCAGTAAGATACAAAGGGGGGGGAAACATAAAGGTCGCAACATGCTTTCCCCCCACTCTAACCCTAACCCCACTCAACTCTTCAAAGTTTCATATATCCCAAATGTGCCCATGCTATTTTTTATTTGGGGTCCCCCCCCAATAAACTAGCCATGCCTCGAACCAACTTTGCTGCCTTCCTTAAGATGGCTTTTTGATCATGCTGTAGAAAAGCAATCTCTTTTACAAAGCAAACATTGCCAGGCAGCTGGTCCTTATTCTGTGAATTTTTTTTATAGGAAAGTACTTGTTAAAGGAAAATACTGTCGTGGGCAGTTATGGGTCTTCTTTCCTGTTTTTAAAAAGGCAGTGCAGAGTTACCCGCAGTCCTGGCTTCTCCTGCATGGTGCCCAGGGCGCAACAGTGCTTAGCACTTCTACCTAGGTGCCTGCCCAAACCTTTCAACCCTCCTGTTTGTTTTTCTTAATCCTCAGGCAGCAGGGCACATTTTCCCTGTGGTCCCAGAGCTCTAGCACACATGGGAGCAGGGCTGTAGGTCAATGGGAAAGCAACTGCCTTGCATAAAAAATGCCCCCCCCCAATCTCGGGAATGGTACTTAACACCCCACAGAGCTGCAACACCCAGGACCCTTAAACTATAGTTCTGCGGTTTTTTGGGGGGAAGTCGTGTGATTTAAATGTATGATGTGCATGCTGCTATCAGCCTTAGTTTCTAAGGCTATAACCAAGCCAAAATGCATGTAAATTGAACCATCTTATCATCTCTCCCCTTTTACCTGCTGCTTCCTCTTTCTTCTATTTCTTCTGTGTCAAATTTTAGACTGTAAGCAACTTAGGGCAGGGGCCTTGTCCTCTGTGAAGTGCCACCACACACATTGATGGTGATATATAAATAATGACCACTCAAACAGAAGATCTAAGGATGATACCAGAAGCTGTATAAATGGCAAATTATTCAGGCAATGAAAGTGTTAAGAGCCTAATAGCCATGAACAGCTGTGTTAGCTTGTTTGCACACCTAATACTAATTTGTGCCAGGAGTGTGAGTCAGCAGATTAGTGTTGGACAGCTGGTAGGGAGGATGACAAAACCTCCTAATTATTCCTGATGGTTGCATATGTGTGTTCTGGAGAGCTGAGGTTTTATTGTTTTAGTCAGGTAAATTAAAGCCACACACATTGAGTCAAAGTTACAGGATATTAGACTAAGAGCCTACTAATGTGAACCATCTAAAAACACAGTAAATGCACCATGTGACATGCAAACCTACTTTTAAAGCAACTTAGCCCCATTTGTAAGAATGATACTACCAATTTATGAGTCACTCAAGACAGATACACACCATCATTGCCTCCAGAGCTATAGTGATACCCTCTTGTGAATACGGTCCCCTGTGGTA